CTGCCTGCAAAGCCAGCAACAAGATGAGGCAGGCAGCCAAGAAGCGCCATGGAAGGAAGCCGGGCAGGGGCAGCCGGGTTAGGGGCTCTGGACCTGCAGAGTTAGAAATTCAAGTCCAGCTGCTCCCGCCCCTGGGGCCGGTGCTCTTGGCAGATGCCCCCTCAGGGGAGGCTGTGGGCCACCCCACAGGGCCCAGGGTGACAACACCACGTGCCTGACACACTTTGCAGGGATTGAACAGGCCCCAGAGGCTTCGGGGCCCGCCCAGCTCCCTCTGCCTAGCCAGGGCCCCCAGGCCACAGCAGGGGCTGCCCAGAGACACCTGCCCTCGGCGGAGGCGAGCGATGTGCAAGGCGGAAAAGGTGGGCTGGGCGCGCAGGGACAATGCATCAGAGTTAGGACCCTCCCGGTGGGTTCCAGGGGTAGGGTCGGGGGAGGCGCAGAGCCTCTCTGCATCGCGGCCCCCACCCGGCCCTCTGCACAAGGGCGCTGCAGCCCCACGGGAGGTGCCTGCCGCAGGGTGGAGGCGAGGCGAGCACACCGCCCCACAGCCTGCCAGAGCCAGCGCCTGGCAGCGGCCTCTGCAGCGTCATGCTCCGGCCGGCAGGGATGCAGGCACCCAGGCTCGCCCTCTGCAGGGAGCTCGGGGGAAGGGTCAGGGCCGCTGGGGAGGGGCGTGCCCCCCCACCTAGGGCAGCTCCTAGGGCAGATGGAGGGGCTGTCAGACTCCAGGCGTGGCATTTCCTGGCTCACGCCCTCACTCAGTCATTCAGCAAGCACCTCTGAGCTCACAGGGTAGCTGGAGGTCCCGACAAGCCCTGCGAGGCAGGCCGTGGAGGAGGCTGGGACGCTCTGAGGGTCAGTGGGGTCTTGGGGTCCCTAGGCTGGGGCTCGTTCCAAGGCTAAAATTGGGCTTCAAATGCCAATGTAGGGGTGTATGTGTGGGGGGGGTACAGTCTCTGTCCAGAAGAGGCTCTGGTGGGGGGGACAGGCAGGGACAAGGTGGCTAGGTCAATGCTGGAGCTGGACAAGCAGCTTCGGGAGGGGACAGAGGGCCGAGTGGCCCAGGAAGACATCCTTTTTGTGGCCAGAGAAACGGGGTGGGGGTCACCCAGCAGCCACGGCAGCAAGGGACTCCACGCGAGCTGCTGCAGCTCAGTGGGGCACGCCCTGGCCTGTCATGGAGAGACGGTCTCACGGGTACAGCTGGGACCAACCAGGGGTCAGACCCCAAGTCTCTTCCAGAAGAATGTGCTGCGTGGGTGTGATCACTCCCTGCAAGGGGTAAAGAGGAGGGACCCGGAGACAGAGAGCAGCCATGGAGCCAGCAGCTGACCCCCAGCGCAGGGGTGATAGCAAGTCCACGAGTCCAAGCCCACCCCCTTCCCACGGAGACCCTCTCCTTTTTAGGACGCTCCCAGGGAGACCCCTCCAGCCCCTCGCAGCGCAGTGGTCAGGGGTGGGGGAGGGGGGCACGGTGGCCCCTGTTTGGTGCACGCAGCTGCCATGCCTGGCCCTAGTGTGTTCTCTCTGAATCCAAACCTATGAGGATGAGCTCTCTAAGACAAGAAAGCAGCCCAGAGAGGTAAAGCGACGTGCCCAGGTCACACAGCAAGGATGTGAGCCAGGGGATGAGGCGGGTCCAGGCCCTCGTGGTGTCCATAGCCACTCCACACGGCCCCCCAGGGGGTCTGGCTGCCAAAAAGGCACCTCAGCGCCCCGGGACACAGACAATCCCCCACCAAACGACTGACTTCGGGGTTCTCATCCTTTCTCTAGAGGTAGAGCAAACCCTGAGGCATGAGGTGACGTCCTCTGTGAATTGAGTGTTTCAACTGTACCCTCGGGACACGACGACGTGAGGAAAGACATTAGCCCGGGAAATGGAGGGGAGAGCTTGGGCCACTGCTCAGAACAAGGGGGCGCATCACAGCAAGGGAGGGGGGTGGGGGCCAGAGGTGAGCCGGAGACGCCCCAGGCTGCACGTGGCTGCCAGGACGGGCCCTGCCTCCCCCACCACCCCCTTGGAGGTCTGGCTCCACCCAGGACCTCTCTGTCCACAGGGACAAGGCTGTGGGCAGTCGGCCACGGGGCGCCCACAGAGACAGGGGCCCTGGGGAGGTGGGGGGGGAAGGTCAGCAACAAGCCAGGGAGGGGCCGGAGGCTGTGGGGTCTTGGGACCCAAGTCCATGGCTTCCAAATTCCCCTCCGCTGCTTAGGACGAGGGATGGCAGCCAGCCCACGGCTCAGTGGTGTCCCCCAGCCCCGCGGACGACAGCCAGTGACCAGTGCGGGGTGCCAGCCAGGCACAAGGTCATTCGGCCGTGAGAAGGAACGAAGTCCTGGCATGCCGCGTGGGGACGGCCCCAGAACTCCAGTCACACGCGCTCAGTGCCCCCCCCCCCAACCCCAGCCGACTGTGGTCTGGGAGTTAGGGGTCACGCCCGCATGACTCTGAAGACCCCAAAGACCACAGCACCTTACTGCTTTACAAGAGGGCTCTCATGGCACTAAATCAATCTTTACAATTTAACCACTAGCCTGCTCCTTCCCTGACCACCAAGCCCAGCAAAGCACCCCCCGCCCCCGGCGGGTCTCTGGTTCCAGGGGGAAAGGCAGGGCAGAAGCACTGGAGCCTGCTGGCTCTCCCCCTCGTGCCCCTGCTGCCCCCAGGCTTCCGGAAGTCGACGCCCATCACCCGCGGCCCCCGCACCACCGAGGTGGGTCCAGGGGCGAGGGGGCTTCCACCCAGGGCTACCATCCTAACGAGCTGTGTGCCTCAGGCTCATGACTTGACCTCTCTGAGCCTCAGCCTCACCATCCGTACACTGAGCAACTCCGGGCTGTGAGCCCCTTTTGCTGATGGGGGAGACGGCAAGGTCACAGGGCGACTGAGTGAGAAAAAGGGGACCAGGCACAGGGTGCAGCCCAGAGATGCTCCCGAGAGGGACAGCACTTCCTCGTTTTCTCAAACTGAGGCCTGATGGAGGGGGTGGTGAAGCCGATCAAGAACGGAACACGGAGCTCACGGCCACGGCTTCAAGGCTTCAAACTCTCAGAACCTGGCTTGTCGACCGCTGGAAAGCCTACCATTCTCAAGACACAGGGTGTCGAGAGCCGAGGTGCACACACAGCGGAACCTGAGTGGGGGGCGTCCCGGGTTCAAACACTGCTCCCAAACCTCGGCCCTCCCATCTGAAGGACGGGGTGACCGGTCAGCCAGCTGCAGATGCCACGCTCCCACGACGTAAGGGCTCTGGGCAGTGTGGCTGGGGCTGGTCTTCCCTCTCCCAGCCCCCCACCGAGGACTCACTCCTCCCAGGACAGGGAGCACACAGAACGCCCAGGTCAGAGCCGCGAGGACCAGGGCACCCGAGCCACCGGGCCAGGCCTCTGCCAGCAACACACTCTGTCCCCAGCCAGCGAGGCCCGGAAGCCTCTGGCACGTGGGTTGCCTGCTGGCCTGTCCTTCCAGCCGGACGCTGAGACCAGACCAGCCTGGGGCAGCGGAGAGGAGACAGCACCATCGAGGCAGGCTCGTGCCCTGGGCCCACGGCCCTGGCGTGAGCCCCCGTCTACAGACCTCCCCTGCCTGCCTCTGCAAGGAGGAAAAGGGCCCTTCCATGGCCACGTACTCTGCAGCGGTGAGGTGTCACCAGGACGTGCCCCCTGAGGTGGAGGGACGATTGGCGGTGACTCTGCGCGAGCGGAATCAGCATTTTCCCACGTGCCACCACTTGCCTTCTGAACGTTGAGAAAGGACACAGCCAGAGCAAGGAGCTGCCGGGCAAATTCTGCCACGGGGGCGTCCCGTCACCTCTGAGGGGACCACCGAGTCTCAGCCACCCCGTTCCCGCTGTGTGCGCACCCCCACGACGGGCAGGGAGCTCGCTGCCTTCTGTGGGGCCATCTGCTCCCCAGCTGTGTGGCACGCTGTGGCCTGGGACAGCAGGGCCTCCCAATACCGGCCGGGCGCACTCGGACACCACCAGGCAGTGTGCCCTGGTGGGCGTGGAGGGTGAGGAGTGTGTGGGGCTGCCAGCAACCACGCTCTGCCCAGGCGGACACAAAACCAGGCCCCAGCGGTCTGCCCTCCCAGGCCGCGGCCCACCCCGTCAATCCCGAGCTCACTGCCCAACAACCGTGAGGAGGAGAGATGCAGAACTCCGAAGACCCCCAGCCACCCCAAGTCAGGGCAAATGTCCCTCCTGCCGAGCTGCGGAGCCTCTGTACACAGACACGTGTCCTCCCCGCACAGGGCCCTGGGGCGTAAGCCCTAGACTTCTGGGGCAAGACAGATGGCAGGCAGAGGTACCCAGGTCCCTGCTTCCTCTGCCCAGAGAGCAGCCCCAGGTCTGAGCAGCAAGTCCATAGACTAGCCTGGGTCTCCCGGCAGCCCCAGCCACAAACTGCCTCCTACCCTCTTGTCCAACCAGCAGCCCATGACCCAGACTAACATGGGCAACCGGATGGTGGTCCCCAGAAGGGCCTGAAGCCGGAGGCCCAAGGAGCCTCCGAATAAAGATCAAAGCTCAGAGAGGGTCGGTGTTTGCCCAGAGCCACACAGCATGTCACAGCCCAAGTGACCCCAGAAGCCAGGGCTCCGATCTGGGCGACACCCATCCACGCCGGCACGCAATCCTTGCCTCAAGGAGTTAGGTAGTCATGGGGGGAGCTGTCCCAGAGACCCCCACTCTGAGATCAAGTGGGTTTCTAGAGACCGTGGCCACCCCCGCAGTGGCCCCTGGAGCCAAGGCCGGACAGAGGCGGTAGAGAGGCAGAAGCAAAAAGCAGAGGTGCCAGGGTGGGGTGGGCTCGCCGGCCGGGCGGGGGGCCAGGAGGGCCTGCAGTTGGGAAGGCGCCACCCGCCCCCCAGAATGAGGCAGCGCGAGGGACAGTGGAGTGGCCAGGAGCCCACCCCGGGGCGGCTCCAGCTCCTGCTCGGGAGGAGGGGGCTGCGCTCCCCCCTCGGGCTGCAGCCTGGCGGGCGCGCCTCTTACCTCTGGGCTCCTCCGCCTGTTTGGCGAGCTTGCGCAGCGCGGCGGCAAAGCTGGAGGACGGCGCGGCCTGGGCCGACAGCGCGCTGCTGGTGGCGGGGCTGCCGCTGGGCACCAGGGCGCCATTGAGCGGCGAGGGGGTGAGGGGGTTGACGGTGGCGGTGGTCCTGGTCGCGGTGGAAAGCATCCCTAGTGAAGGGGACTTGGGCTCATGGCTCATGCCTGAAACAGGAAAAGAAGAACCAGAGGTCACCCAGAGAGTAGGAGGGCCCAGCACCAGAGCAGGGGTCCGCGGGGCGCGGGGGGTCCGGCGCCAGCGAGCAGCATGCAGGGACAGGGAGCGGGAGCAGATGCGGGCGGCTCCAGCAGGACAGGCAAGGCAGAAGAGGGCCAGCGTCACAGAGAGAGTGGGGCCGCGGCGCCCCCACCCCTGTGGACCCATGGTCACAGCCTCAAGTGCACCCGGCACCCCGGGACTGCAGACGCCAGACGGCTCAGCCCAGCAGGATCCCAGAGCATCTGCTCCCGCATGCAGGAGGGACAAGGAGGGGCTGCACCTGCCCCCGTTCTAGAGAAAACACAGACTCAGGGTCTGACCCCAGGCAGGCCACCCGGGATGCTGGCAGGTCCCCAGCGGCACAGGTGCCTCGGAGAGCGGCCCCATCGGCCATTGCGTGCGCCATCGGGGAGAGAACGCGGCCGCCCCGCACACCCTGCCTGCAGACCAAAGACACACAACTGTAGTCTGACCCACCGTCAGTGGGCAAACAGCCACCTTCCCACAGGCCCCAGCCTCTCACGTCTCGTCCAAGTGTCAACGAGGAGGCTGAAACTGCCTCCCGACTACCCAATCAATAAAGGCCCAACTCAGGCAGCCGAGGAAGAGGTGCCATAAATAAGTTTTCCATTACCATTCCCTGCCCTCTCGGGGCCACCTGCCCGGCCCAGGCCCCGCTCCCCGCCCCCTCGCTGTGGGTGCGTTCCAGGGGTGTAAATCAAGCCCGATGGCCTTGCGGCTGGCAGGGGTCACAGGTCGTGTGCAGGGAAAAGCAAATTGACTTCCAAACCCCCAGATGGACACCCAGGAGGGGCAGGCTCCAGGAATACCATGCAGGCATCCGGGGAAGGGTCCTTGGGAGTAGCGGGTGGAGGAACACAATCCTAGAACACTCAAGAACACAACAGGGCAAGAAACATGCACTTCTCGCAGGGTGGTGGCAAGGGACCCCCCCCAGGCTGCGGCCCACACCCCAAGAGGCTCTCCGTGGCCCCCAGAGCCCACCTCACCTCCACCGGGTTCTGCACTGAGTCTAAAAGAGTCTACCTGGAACCTGCTTCCGTGTCCGACCCTGTGGGCCAGCAGGCTGGAAGGCAGCCAGGTGAGAAGAGGGGGACCCCCACAGGGGGGTCAGGCAGGGGTAGGCACCCACCTGCTGCCCCCAGAACTAGCCGGGAGAGAGGACAGGCCTGGACGCACGTCCTAAAGCCCGAGTCCCAGAGCGCCAGGCGGGGCAGGAAGAGCCATCCTTGGGGCTCAGGCTGGCGCATCCAAGACAATATTGAGGGCTTGTGCTTGGGAACAAAGGACCCCCACAAGGGCCCCGGTGGCCACAGCCAGTCTGCCAGTCTCCCAGCTGTGGGGTAGCGCCAACTTCCGGCTGACCTGCGCGTCCTCTTCCTGAAATAGCAGGGGTGGGGGGTGACTCTCAGTAGAGAAACCCAAGAATCCAGGGGGGTGTGAGGGTCCCTTCCCCAGAAGCCTGATAGCCAAAAAACACAGGTCTCAGGCCCGGGTCACTCTTGGCCAACTCAGCACCCAGCCAGCCCCTGGAGGACCGCTGAGCACAATGGATGTTACACTCTAGGAGTGTGGCCCCAGGCTACCACCGGCACCTTCTCCTCCTCCAGTGGACAGTGTGGACAGAGGGGGCAGGAGGTGTGGCCAAGTTCATGGAGTGAGGAAGTGGGGGCCCGAAGGTCACGCTTAGCATTCACTTGGCTGCCAGGTACTTGGGGCATGAATCCTGCTCTGTAGCCTCAAAGCTGGATGACCTCAGGCAAGTACCTTTGCCTCTCTGGGCCTGCCTGCTTGTCTGTAAAATGCAGTAAGGACAAAGTCTACCTTGTAGGTTCACCTAGACAGGCTTCAAGGAACTAACACGAGGGACTTTAGAGTGTGCCCGGTGCACACCAGGGGCCATTTATTAAACAGTCCACCAGCCTATGGAGGAGCAGAAACACAGGTCCAGATGAGCAAGGGGCCCGGCTGTGGCCTCACAGGTCAGCCCCTGCAAACCAGGACACACGCTTCCGGAATTGTGCTGCCTGCCCCACCTGGGGGACCAGGTGATGTGGCGTCAGAAGTCCACGTGCTGCTTGGGGTGCCCCCCATGGTCCCCTCCCCGGGCTGGGGACTGCATGGCCCGGTGTGCACGCCGCGGGCAGAGCACAGTTCCATGTGCCTGAGCGGGTGGCGGCTGAGGACGGGTCACACGCGGGAGCTGGTGGCTGTTTTGGGAAGGAGAGACAGCACTTAGAGATGCTACGCGGTAAAATGGAGGCCTTGTGGGGATAAGGCCCCCACTGGTCCTGGCAAAACACTCAGGGGAAGGTGTGGCTACACAGGGCTGCCGGGAGACAAGGTGCGTGAAGAGGGACCCCAGGCTCTCTCCCGCAGGGGACATCAGTTAGACATGGCTGGGTCACCTCCCAAGACGCCTCCACACGGGCCTAGGAGAGGCCAGCAGCTGTTCACAGTCTGGTCCTGGTCATACGGACGGTGCAAGGCCACAGTCAGGCAGCACGCCCAGGACTCGAACCCTGTCTCACGGCCCCACACGGCCTCCCCGCACACCTTACACCACCTGCCCGCTCCGAGGCCTCAACGGGACGCTCAACCAGAAGGGATAAACATGCGTGCACGCACGGCTAAAACATGTGTCACCAAAGTGTCTGAAAAACACATCCATAAAGTCTTTGTTGCTCATCCCTTCAAGGGGTGGAGACTAATTCTCTTGCCCCCAAACATGGGCCAGACTTCCGGACTCACTTCTGACCAACAGAGTACGGTAGAAGTGATGGCATGTGACTTCCAAGAAGAGACCATCATGGCCGCTCTCCCGCGTCACTTGAGTGGAGCGTGCTCAGGCTGCCCACAGGGTCCCAGGTTTCCTGCCGCCTCCAGACAAAATCCGCATTCCTTCCCTGCCCTGGCCCAGATGAGCCTTCGGAGGAGACCACAGCCTCGGCTGCCAGCTGAATCACAGGCTTCTTGGAGCCTCTGAGCCACCCTGCATCCCTAAATGTTAAGTCTGGGAGAGTTCGTTATGCAGCTTAGGATAACTGACACAGTACCACCACAGGCTCTACTGACCAAGACTACCGTCTTGAGCTCTCTCCCCATCTCCCTTCCTTCTTGGAGCCCCAGAAGGGGGCATCTGCAAATACTCCATGACCAACAAGGCCCCCCCGACCTCGATGCCACCGGAGACCGTCAACCACACCCTCCCTGTTCCCTCAGTCCTTAGAGAGCCAGCCATCTCTCTTTAATCCCAATTCTGTAAGAAAGGTGTCACTGTGCCCATTTTACAGATGGGGGAGGCCGGGCTTGGATCCAAGGGCCGACAGATGGTTAACAGCAGGGCTGAGATTACTGCAACAAAGCACGTGCATCCTGTTCGTGCCAAAGTGGTCAGGGCCCAGGTCCAGACCCATCCTGCCCCACACTGCACGAGGATGTAAGAGATGGGGATGAGGAGACAAAGAGTGGGGAAGTGAGGGTAGACAGTGGGGTCATTCCACCTCCCAGCGACAGTCCCCAAGGCCCAGGAGCCAATGTGAGGCCACTGTCCAGTGGCCATGTGACAGGCTGGCCAGCTGGTGACCTGGGTGGACCTGCTGTGACCGCCAGCTGACAGTGCTGGGCAGGATGGCACCGAGGTGCTGGGACAGGCAGGCGGTAGCCACAGGACAAATCCCAGGCCAGACTCCAAAGATCACATGCCCCTCAAGGTGTTGGTGGGTGTCTTCAAGTGGCAGCAAGAAGAACAAAGGTCTCACTTCTTAAGTTGTAGCTTCTCTGCAGTAAACCAGGTTTTTAAAAAAGGGGGGGGTCATCGGGGCACCTGGGGGACTCAGTTGGTTTAAGCATCTGCCTTCAGCTCAGTTCATGCTCCCGGGGTCCTGGGATCGAGCCCCACCTTGGGCTCCCTGCTCAGCAGGGAGTCTGCTTCTCCCTCTCCCTCTGCCCCTCCCCCTGCTCATGTGCGTGTGTGCTCTCTCTCTCCAATACATGAAATCTAAATAATGTTTAAGTAAAATAAAACAAAGTAAAATAAGTAAATGGGGGGGTGGTCATCAAAGAGATGGAGACTCACCAACATGAAGTTGGCACACCAACAGAGGGCCCGGAGGTGCCCCCTCAGACCAGGGCTCCCCCTGCTGGAACTCAAACCCAAATAAATCCTCACCTACTGCCCCCTGCCCCTGCCTGGTGAGCAGGGTCTCAGGGGGGGCAGATCCCCCTCCGCGCCCTCCCGGGGTCGGCTATCCCCTGGATGACACAGTCACACTCCTGCTGGCACTGAGTAACCTCCCCTCCTCACACAAAGCCTGGCACCTGTTTCCCAGGCTCTGACAGCAGCCCTCCGGGTTCCTGGGGGTCCCCCAAAGCCAGCATCTCTGTCGTAGTGTCAGCTGTGGGCTCCAGGGGCGCTGCGAGCCAGGAAAGCTACTGCTGATGTCAGGTCACTTAAAATAGAATCCCAAGCCAGCCACTTCATTAAGGAGCTAAAATTAGCCCTGCTCCTTGGCATGTGCACCCCCGGAGGGCGGGCTGGGGGACCACCAGCAGCCGGGATGGCAGCTCCTTTGCACCCAGGACAGGCAGGCAGAGGCCAAACTCAGAGGACCCCGACGCCTGGCAAAGGGTCACCCTGGACCTACTCTGACTCGATGCAGCCTCGGGGGAGCCCCCTGCCCCCTAAGCCCTGCCCCGGGAGGCAGACGCAGGCCTCTCCCATGCACGTCCTCTCTGGCTGAGGCCACGGCAGGCGCTGCCACGACCGTGGAGTCCGCAGGGGTGGGCTGAGGGGAGAGCGGGCCTTGGGGCGGCCCCCGCACCCTCAGGAGGCCCCAGGGGACCATGGGGTGCCTGCTCCCCGTGCCCTCATCAGAGAAGATATTTATTAACTTCTGTGCTCCTGGCCATTGACTGAATTC